ATTGCCAAACAGGGTCCATTGCATAGAAGACGCCCAGCAAAGAATAAAAGGCCAACACCCTTCATCCTTTATAGTTTTCCACTTAGCAGCTGGCCTCACCGCTCAGCTCTGCTCTCCAGTCTTCTGCCTCCTGCTGGCTTCCTTCTGTTTCTGCAACAGCTCACATTTGGGTCTGTTCACCGGTTTTCAGCCCATCTTCGGCCCCCGCCTGGAGAACGGGAGCTCTATGAAGGCAGAAGAGGCACTTTGGTTCATGGACACAGATCCCCAGTGCCCAGCACCAGCGCGGAACACTTGGTAAACACACACATGCCGAATAAATAAAAATAGGCAGAGGGGGCGCCTGGGGGGCACAGTCGGTTAAGTGTCCGACTTCAGCTCAGAGCATGATCTCGCCGTTTGTGGGTTCGAGCCCCGCGTCAGGCTCTGTGCTGACAGCTCAGAGCCTGGAGCCTGCTTCCGATTCTGCGTTTCTCTCTCTCTGACCCTTCCCCACTCAGGCTCTGTCTCTCTCAAAAATAAATAAACATTTAAAAAAATAATAAAAGCAGGTAGAGAGGCCACCAACTTTCGCCTCTCCAAACGTAGTTTTTTCCCCACCTTGGGAGTCATTAGGTTTTCAGGAGAAAAGCGTGCTTTCTTAAGAAAAAATTAATAAAACCACTCAAGTCAGCCTGCACTAGTGTTACTACATGCTCGTTTGCATATAAGGGCATATGAATAGAAATGCTTATGCACCTCTATCTTTGCAGAAACAAACAACGGAAGGATAAATCAAAAACTAATTTTATAAAATGGTTACTTATAGAGGGGAGGCAGCAAGGTGAAAGGGATAAAAAAACTAATGAGCTCTGAATATACCTGGTTTTATAGTTTTGATTAAGAAACTGCTTTACATAACAAAACTATGTTTAAAAGGGGAAAAAAGCAAAGTAGTATCTAAAGATGGAAAACAATGAACCTAACAGTACGTTAAATTGTTGGCAAGCCCACAGCTAAGGAATTTGGAGCTCCCTAACCCATGCTTGCATCCCTGGAGTGGAATTTACGCAGTAGAGAGCAGTGACCATGAGAGACCTGACGGCCGGACCCCCACCCCCAGGGATGAGGATTTTGCTAGTCCGGGACCACAACTTGAGAACCAGTTATAAACAAGTGAAACTTAACAAATTTGAAGTCCTCCCTGAGAATGTTGGTAAGAAAACTGGCATCATGACTTCACTGCTGTATGTAGCAGGGTACATAAAGCAAGTCATGATGATATCAGGAACCCAACTTTTCAGAGAGTTAAATATAAAGTCAAAGAAATAAAAGTGCTGTTTTCATTTTGAGACAGAAACGGCCATATAGAGGCGCCTGGCTGGCTCAGGGAATAGAACATGTGACTCTTGATCTCAGGGTTGTAGTTCAAGGCCCATCTTTGGCTTAGAGATTGCTTAAAAATTGGGGAACCTGGGTGGTTCGGGTCAGTTAAGCATCTGACTCTTGGTTTCTGCTCAGGTCATGATCTCATGGTTGGTGAGTTCGAGCCCCACATCGGACTCCGTGCTGACAGTGAAGAGCCTGCGTGACATTCTCTCTTCTGTCCCTCCCCCACTCACTCTCTCAAAAAAAAAAACAAAAAACAGCAATTAAGTCATTGAAGTTTTTTTTTTCGTTAAAAAGCATATATATCATTGTTGTCTATGTTAAGAAGGCCCAGGGGTTGAAGCAGCCTAGGAGTAATGAGCACACTTACCAAAACACACTGAGTCGACCAGAAGGAGCCCGTCGGCCAGGGACTCAGGAGACTGAGCATCAAAACGACGCCTGCAATTTGCTTACAACGTGTCAAATGTACGAGTTCCTAACAAAAAATTCAAAAGTTCATTCACCAGTCATGTCTGGGACCAGACAGGATACTGGGCACCAGACATTATTCTAAGCTGGTTAATCAAGGGAGAGAATCAAGTTTTATACACACTTTTTTGTTGAAGTTGTTATTTCAAGGTAATCAAATAATCACATGAGGTCTTCTGTCCAATAATAAATGCAGAGGAAATGACAGAACTTTAAAAAAAAATCACCTTTTGGGGCGCCTGGGCGGCTCAGTCAGTTAAGCATCTGACTTCAGCTCAGGTCACAATCTTGCGGTTTGTGGGTTCGAGCCCATGTCGGGCTCTGTGCTGACAGTTCGGAGCCTGGAGGCTGCTTCAGACTCATGTCTCCCTCTCTCTCTGTCCCTCCCCTGCTCGCACTCTGTCTCTGTCTCTCAAAAATAAACAAACATTAGGGGCACCTGGGTGGCTTAGTCGGTGGAGCGTCCGACTTTCGCTTAGGTCATGATCTCGCGGTTCGTGGGTTCAAGCCCCGCGTCGGGCTCTGTGCTGTCTGCCAGCTCAGAGCCTGGAGCCTGTTTCAGAGTCTGTATCTCCCTCTCTCTCTGACCCTCCCCTGCTCACGCTCTCTCTCCTAGAAATAAATAAAAATATTTTAAAAAAATAAACATTAAAAAAAAAATCACCTTATACAACCTTCCTAACGTTCGTCGGTGGCTGCAAAAAACCCAAGGGAGAAATGGGGAACTTGATGACAGCTGGTTACTCTGACACCTAAACCCACTGATCAAACGTCACCACAGGTTGGAAAACCAAGGACTGTGTGTGTCCGGAGGTGCTGCAATCAGGAGCACCCCGCTCCCCAAAACTGAGCTCAAAGCTACTTTAAACCCCTGGATTTAACTCACCAGTTTATAGGACACACAGAGATTTGCAGGGACAGGTCAGGTGAAACCACAAATGTGCAACAAACCCTGAGAAGAATGTGCCAACTTCTATAGGACGAATGACCCACCCTCTTCACGAAGTAAAATGTCCTCTAAGGTGTATGCGATGGGGGGCGGGGGGGAGGGGTTGGATTAAAATAGGCTTAAAAATCTTCTAAACTAATTAAGTGGGTAAGACTTGTGTGGGTCTTGATCGCAACTCAACTTACCAAATGTAAGGCGACCCTTTTGCAAGGTTATGGGGACATGGTGGTTGGTGATGAGGAATCCTCGTTCACAGAGCTGTGTGTGATCGTGAAAGCCTCGATCCATTAGGGGTTCAGAGTGAAGGGTCTTGGGGATGAAACTAAATCCTGTCCGAGACTCGCTTTAAAATACTCGGGGGAGAAGAGTGAGGAGCTCGCCTCATGCTGCTGGGGAGCATTGAGGATTCATCACATGACCCTCTCTACTAAACTGCAGGCTTAAAATTGTATTTGCAAAAAGTTAAAACAAAAGCAGAAACGAGGGACACAATAAAGACCAAAAGCAAGGCTGCAAAACACCAAATCTATATTTACATCCACATATAATAACATAACTTTAAGCTGAAATACATCATAAATAAAACAAGTAATGTCTACTGTTTGACAAGTTAAGTATCAACAATTAAAATAAATCAAACTGGAATGAAATAAATACATAAACAAAAATCCAACGGATTGTACCTCTATTATATGTACTGTTGTCTCAAAGGAAAAAAAAAACATACAAAACCAGTAGTATCCCAATAGTTAATACTGATGGACCAAAAAAAAAAAAAAATTTGGAGGACAAGGGCTGTGGAAAAAAGGACATTTTTATGTATTCAGAAAGTGAGAAATGTGGCTAGAAAAGAGAAATCTGAAAGCCCCCCAAAATTTCAGCATGACATGAATTGACTTGTTTTCAAATAGATTTGGTGATTTTTTTTTAAATACAGGTTTAAATCTCAGCCCTCTATTATCTCGCATCCCCTTTTAAAGATTTACATTTAGAGTCACAGCAAGCTTCCTGTAACACTCATTGGATTAGGCAAAGATCAAGTCAATCATCTTGCAAATGTGTTAATCTTCAAAAATAGGCTATAAAAGTGCAAAACTATGGAAACAAACATCTAGATTATGTCCACATGGCTCAGCTTGTGAACAGGAAATCAGGTGAATGGGGCACACTCTTCCTGATACAAAGCGTTCCCTGCGATGCCAACAGACCGTGTCCCATCAGGCCTCCCTGGACCGCGGGACTTAAGACTTCTCTGTCAAGTACGCTTCACGTTGCATAACGAAAACGAAACACCACCACACGCAAAAAGAATCAGGACTCTTTCAGGACTTTACTCTCGCTCTAACACAGAAGGGCGGGGTAGGGGGGGAGGCAAGAAAACTCAACAGTGCAAATTTCTTTTCGAAACAGTTTTCTTAATAAAACATTTGGTGGTCGCGAACCCCACTGACTGCTGAATAAATTCAGCCGCGGACAGCATTTGAAAGGGAACGAAAGTCTAAAACATCTAGTAGTTAGCCAGCTGGTGGCCATCCTCCCTCTAAAAACCCACACTGCATCTGGTTGCTGGAAACAACCCAGAGTGGGAAGACAGCCGAGGTCAAGGGCCAGCTCGCATCTTCCCCATTTACCAGAAGGCTCAGCCGGCAGTTCCCTATTCAGAATCAACGGGTCTGTAACGAACTGGGAGATGCCCACAGTGAACCCAAATGCCAGGCGCCCCAGGCCTTCCAGACACAAACCTAAAATTTACCCCAACACTTTCATGTCCTTTAAAACTGCTCCCAATATATGTAATTCACATGTATAACTCAGCATTTCGGTTTTTACATACTAAATTAAGCGAAAGCCAAAAAAAACAAAAAAACAAAAAAACACCTGAATTTTCCAACAAAAAAATGATGAACTTGATAGGAAATAAATTCAAGTAACTCCACACAGAATTTGATCCGTTTGCCGGATACGGGGCTCCCCTGCGGAGGACGAACCCTCTTAAAAACCCCAACAGAGCACACGCCGCTCTCAGCAGGGGCTGGCGGATCTGGACTCTTCCTCAGCTGACAGACTGAAATTTTGCAATAAAAGGGCACCAAATTCGGAACGGCTGACCTCAGTGTACGCAGCGCATGTCCACAGAGGGTCGATGCTTCCGTTAACAATCTCGTTAAGACAATAGACCGAGGAGGATTTAACATAATACAGATCATTGAGCAATTTTTTTTTTTTTTAAACATACATTTTCAATGAAAGAGCACAAATAGCAGGAACTGGGCAAGGGGACGGGCTCCATGAGGGCAAGAGGGAGCACAGTATGTGAACAAGCAGGTTTCGAACTTACATATGTACAGAGTTACCTGAGGTGCAAGCGTTATAGACTCTCCCCCCCGCCCCCCACCCGGGCGGCTTCCATTCAGCAGCGCTCACGTAGGCAAAAGACTCCTCTTCCTATTTGGTCAATCCTAAAAAAAATATTCAGGGACAAAATAGAGATTTCCGGTCTCCATTTGTGTACAACCCAACTGTTCCATCTAATAGTTTTTATTGCTATTTGGTACAAAAGTCAACAGAACAACGTTACAAAACCGTAGTGTTCCTGGTGCGTCGCATGCATGGTGCGGTCACAGCTTATTCCACGAGCTTCCGCCACCTGCTTTCTCAAAGGCTGGACTAACTCAGTTCCATGGACGGCACACACATCCGTCAGGACCTACGGGGGAAACGGGGTTCAAGAAGTGATCAAGATAAAACGGAAAACAGCTTGGGAAAATCCTTTTTTTTTTTTTTTTAATAAAAAAGAATAACGAACAGAACCAAAGGGATCTCTGCAGGCAAGGAGCCCCCCTTAGGCTCCAGTGTTGCAATGCAGGGGCGCCTCACTGGCTCAGTGGGTGGAGCACGTGACCCTTGATCCCCGGGTGGCGAGTTCGAGCCTCATGATAGGGGTGGAGATTAAAAAATAAAATTGTAAAAAAAAAAAAAATTGTTGCAATGAAAATATTCGGACTCTACTACTGCTGTGCCGCCTCAGGGACACTACCTCACCCTGAATGGTGATTCCACGAAGATGACGTCACCGAGAATCAGGATCTGATCAGTTACATGAAGCCTGGCAAAGGGCACGAGAAACTGAAAAGGCAGTAACATTATGTGCTCAGCCAGCATCTAAGGAGTCTGATCAGGGACAGTCCCGGCGGTGGGCTAGGCAACAAAGGAATTCGTTCCTTTCCTCCTCTGGAGCGTAGCTCGCGGCGAAGTGGGGCGCAGAGGGAAGAGGGGCAGAAACGGGGGCGAACTGCACAAGCCAGGGGCAGGACTAGGGAAGCCCCCAGTTCCCGGCAAACAGCCTGCGGAAATGATGCGAGCCGGTGCTGCAGATCAGAGTGACCGGGCGCAGAGAACGCGGGAGGCGGCTCCAGGCAGAGGACATGCGAGCAGAGACGCTCAGAGGTTACAAAGTGAGGCCAGGGCTGGACCCACAGGACAGTGAGTGGCATCTGCCGTTTCGGACGGACTGTGGCCTATAGAGCATGTAACCTGTTATGTTATCTGTTCCTTATTTGTTCTGTTTTCGTGGAGATCGGGCTGCGTCCCACTCCCGTGACCACACGTCCCTGTCATCCCACTATCACTGAGTGAAGGGAGAGAGGCGCGTGGACCTGCGCAGCCCGATGGGCCCCATGTGTGTCACTGCAAGCGAGAGAGACGTCCTGCGGGACGGGAGTGCGTGGTGGGTCGGACAAGAAAAGAGTTTCCGGGAGAGGACTCTAATCTGTCCATAAACCCTGATCTTTTCATTCAGTTTACTGGTAAACGAGGTCTAGAGTAACTCTTGTGCGGACATCAGGCTCTATGGCCAAACTTGGAATTAACACACACTGAGGATACTGCTGGAGCCTTCCAGTGTCTAGTTAGATACGCGCCATGTAACCCACAAACGTCAAAACGCACCCACGTGCTCTCGTTCCACTCCCCTCCCCCAACAGACACGGATGCACAGAGTTTCAAACAAGCTCGTAAGCAGGAGGGCTGGGGCGCAGGCTTCGCTTCCTACAGGCCCAGAAGAGCGGGGTGCTGGGCAAGTGGCCTAACCCAAGTGCCAGCACCCTCACCCGTAAAGGGCGCATGGACCTCGCGACCCCGAGCCAGAATATAAGTATTTTCAGCCTCGCGGGCCATATGCTCTCTGTCACAAGTACCCACTCTGCTGACGTGACTCAGAGGAAGCCATCAACAGCACGGAAAGGCATAGACATGGCTGTGTGCCAGGAGAACCTTACAGACAAAAGCAGGTGGAGGGTTTGCTAATCCCTGGTCTAATGCCCCCCGCTGTGGGAGGGATTAAATGAGGTCATGATTATAAAAACACTTCCAGGCTGAGCAAGAAATAAGTGCTTAGTAAATTCCAGCTGGCACTATTGTTATTACTGTCACCATTATCGCGGGTACCCAGACACCCTGAGCACTCGAAGGTGTTTAAAAACCTTTCAAATCAAAAACAATTTTATTTTATATCCTACTGAACGAGCTAGATGCCTTATGATTAAGTAACTAAAATCAATGCATCATCGATGCTTACCTTTCTTACCCAAAACAGGAAATCAAGTTTTTTTATCATTTGGTCGATAATGTGCATTCCCAATAAAATTCTCATAGTTTCTCTTTTGTAGCATGCTGCTAGGTAAGTGTTGATAAGACACAGGCCTTTTTCCTGATTGAAAAAGAGAAAGAAAACATAAAAAGAGGTTTAAAATTACTAAGATGTATATGGGTTGTCAGAGGTGAACTTTCACAATTCCCTGACGGGTGGTGTGATCAGAACAGACCAGGAGCATACAGCGTGGCAAAGTTAAAACTGGAATGTTTTAAGTGCCTTGAGGACACTTGCTAGCAGAGAATTTTAAATCACGAAAGCTGAAACTATCTGAGTACCATGCTGCCACTAGTAAGAATGACATTAGTAACTGTAAGTAAGCTACAATCTCGAGTTTCAGCACGGTGGGGGGGAACGGTGGCATAAGCTATCTTAAACCTATGTGCATCGTGAACCAAACCTGTGGGGAAGAGGGGGAAAAATTCTGATTTTTATGAAAAAAGGCTTTTACTTGCAACACAGAGCTCTTACTCTTCAAGTAAAGGCAAAGTTTTGACTCGCGTCCATTTTAACAGCCGATAGGGGAGAAAAATAGACACTTTCAATCAAAAGGCTGTAAAAATTAGTATTTCATCACAAGATTTATAAAATTCAGTGGAGTGCGTGAAAGCAATGGTTTTAAAATTAGCTCTCCCTACCGTATCAATTGGCATCAACCCACCCTTGATAAGAGTACTGTTACCACACAGACCCCTTAATTTAAAATTAATACAAACTGAGAGGTTTTCAATTTTTTATGGTTTTTTTTTTTTTTTTTTTTTTTTGAAAGACAGAAAGAGAGCGCGAGACGGGGAGGGTCAGAGAGAGGGAGACACAGAATATGAAGCAGGTTCCAGGCTCTGAGCTGTCAGCACAGAGCCCGACGTGGGGCTCGAACCCAGGAATCGCGAGATCAACACCTGAGCAAAAGTCAGACGCTTAACCGACTGAGCCACCCAGGCGCCCCCAAACTGCGAGGTTTGAAAATGGCTCTCTCTCTGGGGCTGCACAAACCAGCGGGGCTGATAACCGACAAAAACAAGTGGCATAACTAGGGCTGCCTCCCCGGTACTCGGTCATCGGCCTCTTTGCCTGTCCAGGTAACACACGCCTCCAAGGGGAAGAGGCCAAAAGGAAGTAGGGGTTTTACATTTTTCCATGGGGAGAGCTCCAAACTAATCTTCGACTTTAACACTTGGTCCATATGGGAAAAACGGTTTTTGTCCTTTGTCTCTTCAGGGATGTCTTAGGGAAATCTATGACGGGTCTGAAACAAATTAACTACATTGATCCGATCAACAGTAACTGCTGAAATGGCGTTCCCATGTTTGCTTTCCCCTGGGTCATGGGATGCACAGAGCCTCTTTGATGTGAAATGTATCTGCTGCTTAAATGTTTACGCTGTGCTGATGACAACATTCAGACGCACGATGCTGTATATGCGCGCCTGGTGTGTGAAGGGATTACAAGATGCAGGAATATAACGACTTGCTAACCTTGCAGGATTCAGAATTTCAAAAAGATGAAAAAATACCAAATCTAAACAAAACACTTAATCATTAAAAACAAAAACTGTCCACATGCAAAGAGGGTGATGCTTTAAACACACTGAGCGTGTAACAAAGACTATGATTCTAGAGCGCTGGCATCAAAGGAATGTCCACCCGGGTTCTCATACTTGCTGCTCCTGGCAGGGAGGAGACCCGGGCTTCTAGCGGCTCACTGCGCACCTGCCACCGGCTTGTGGGGACACTGCCCGCTGACTGACCGCGCCCTCAGGCAAAGGGCCAGGCGGGGCCAGGCTCCGAAGGGCTTCAGCCAGCACTGCCCAGGGCGCCCCAGGGCCTGACCAGCACCGCGAGCTGGCTGCGGGCAGTGAGCGTGCCCTTCGGCCTGGAGGGCACTGGGGCCCCGGGGCCAGGGTCTGTCCATCCCCGACCCTCCGCAGCCCCAGGCCCAGGGTCCACCACCCGGCCGTCTGCCCCAGCTCACCTTCCCGGGGCCCCAGGGTCCCCTCGCAGCCCCCCAGCCTCACCTTCGGCGGCGGGCCCGCAGGCGAAGAGCGCGGGCGCGGCGCGGGGCTTGGGCGGCAGCGCGGCGGGCGGCGGGCACGCGCACTCGGCGGGCAGCAGCGACTGCAGGCCGCGCACCACGTGGTACTTGGGCAGCTCGAAGGCCCGGCGGAAGGCGGGCGCGGGCGGCTCGGCGTCGGGCCGCGGCCGCTTGGGCAGCGGCTCCCCGGGCTCGGCGGGGCGGCCGCCCGGGGGGTCGCGGCCCCGCGGCGCCCAGGGCCGCTCGGCGCAGCCATTGGCGGCGGCGGGGCCGGGCGCGGCGGGGCCGGCGGGCGCCCTGGGCTTGGCCTCGGGCCTCCGGGCCCTCTCCGGGTGGTGGGCGGGCTCGGCGAGCGGTGGCCGGGCGGCCCCCTGCGCCCCGCCGGGCTGCGGCTGCGGCTGCGGCTGGTGCTGCTGGTGCGGCGGCCGCGGCGCCTTCAGGTTGCTGGGCGCTAAAGTGCTGGGGTCGAGCCCCGCGGGCGGCGGGGGCCTGGCGGGCGCGGCGGGGCCCGGCTTCCCGCGGTCGCGGTCGGCCGGCGCGGCCTTGGCGGGCGGCGCGGGCGCGGGCCTGGCCTTGGGCTTGGGGAAGTGCGCCAGCGGGGCCACGTCCTTGCCCAGCAGCGCGGGCGGGCAGCCGGTGCGCCGGCTTCGCAGAAGGGACTTGTTCCTGCAGTTCTTGTGGATGTCGGGGTTGTACTTGTGCTCCAGTCGCTGGTGCATCATCAGAACCTCGGGATAGAAGGTCTTGAAGGTACAAAACGGGCAGGTGCTCCCTGGGATTAAACTTTTGCTCAGAGAAATGGCCGGGCAGCCGTGCAGCGCCCCGAGGGACAGGTTCAGAGGCTTCTCCTGGCAGTCGGCGCCCGCCCTGTGCTTGCCCTCGGCCGCCGTCGGGGCGCCCGCGCGCTTCTCCCGGGGGCCGACCTCGGCCGCGCGGGCGGGGACCCCCGCCTCCGTTCTGCACGCGGGGTCCTGCCCCTGAGGGTCACCCGCCGCTCTCTTGGGTAAGGCGTCCGAACAGGCGGGGGCAGGAGTTTTGCAGACTCTATCGGTACTGTCACCGGTTGTATTTCTGTTGAAATCCTGAGTATCTTTGTGAACTGGTGAGAGGACAGTGCTGCCCAGAACATTCGGAAAGGCAGAGGCCATCCCCTTCAGTTGCTTTGCAGGCGGGCTGCCTTTAACATCTTTGGCACCATCAAAAAATCTTTTCAAATTTTTGGTTTGCGCACTGTCGGCGGTGAGTAGTGCATCTTCGGTCTCCTGGGTTTTCCCGTCGTTCTTGACCTCGGCGGCAACATCGATCTGCTTGTCCTTGTGATGCCTCTCCAGGTGGTACCGCAGAGAGGTCTTCTGGGCTGCAGCATAGTCACAGAATTCACATTTGTACGGTTTCTCACCTAAAACAACAAAGGTCACCGAATTACACGAGTTTATGAAAAGCGTCAAACTAGATCTCTGGAAACTAGAATCACCTAAGAGAGAATACAAGTCTTTCGTCTTCCCTTCTTTCTACTGACCTTCATTTCCGGGGTTTGCACCACTTGCCTGCTTTATCACCCTCACTCCACTGAGTATTTGAAAACGTGAAGAGTGTCTTCAAAAATATAGCACCCCTTGAACTTATTTAATCTTCCTAACAGTCTAGGAAACAACATTATTATCCTGCTTTTGCAGCTAGGAACACTGGGGCACAGGAAGGCTAAGTAACTCGCCCAAGGGGTGCCTGGGGGGCTCAGATGGTTAAACATCCGACTTCAGCTCGGGTCGTGACCTCACGGCTCGTGGGTTCGAGCCCCATGTGTGCAGACAGCTAGCTCGGAGCCCGGAGCCTGCTTCAGATTCTCTGTCTCCCTATGTCTCTGCCCCGCCCTCCCCACCCCCCACCAAATAAACAAACATTGTAAAAAAAAAAAAATGTTTTAAATAACTCGCCCAAGGTCGCCCAGCTAGTTGAGTGGGAGAGATGAAATTCTGTTACAGCTGCTTCTACAATCTCAAGGGAATTCTACATGTATTCTCATTTCGTCCTCAGTCACGAAAATCAATACATAAAAAAAAAAAAAAGCTGTGGCATTAAAAAATACTAAAGAGTAAGCTGCAGTAAGATGAGAGGCTACAGTAGTCAGAAAGTAAAGAAACTAAGTGCACAAGAGGAACAGTGCACGTTACAATGACACTAAGAGACTGCCAGCAGCACACTCCGCTTACACCATTCTCCAAGGATCTAAGAATATCTGAACAATATTTAAAAAAGAAACACAAAGAACTACATCTTAACTGTTTAAACTAATAAGAGTTAAAGGTGGTCTAGGAAGCTCCTTACCTGTGTGCGTTCTGAGATGAATATTGAGGTAATAATTTGAACGGAAAAACTTCCCACAGTAACTACATTCTCTTGAGGACGTAAGATGCTTGATTTTTCCTCCATCATCATTTTTATCTTGAAGCAGAAACAAAAATATTTATGTAAGAAGACAGCTCAAGTGCATGAGTAAGACGAGCTGGCTTTAAGGATTCTTGCCGGAAGTGTTTGGGGAGAGCAGAAAATGACTTTTACGGATTGGTGCCGGGGTAAAACCCGCAAGGGGCGGGGACACACCAAACGCTGCTCTGGTGGCTTGGGAGCTTTTTAAACGTGTGTGCCGTGTGTCTCTGGTTTTGTTTTTGATTTGAGTGTAGCCGGGCTGGCTGGGCGTTTGGAGATTCAGTTCCTCATTTGCCTCAATCCCAGGAGAGATCGTGTAACAGACTGACATGCACGGGCAGCTTTCCGTTCTCCCGACATGTCTGCAGCGCGCCTGCCGGACCCATGCGCGCCAGCAGCCCGGCTTCAGAGGGACTGACTTCGAAAACCGAGCCAATACAGATCGCCAGCGTTCCCAACCGGAGGGAAGTGGGTCCTAAGCTCAGGTCAGCTACCACTAGAGGGTAGCAAGCACAACCTAATCTTTACAGAAAATAAAAGGTTTGGCACTGGGTCAGACACCTTGTTTGTCACAATTTAGCATGTTGTGGAAAGCAAACCGTAACATTCGCCAGCACGCACGTGGACGAAATTGATCTGAGACCAATCAAAATCTGCCTCCAAATGACAACCGGATAAACTTGAAACTTCAATCTCTGCACTGACCAGGGACGCTATTTAAAGGGAGATTGTATTTTAAACTCCAGGCCTCCAAAAGATAGTTCCATGTGCTGCTGTTAAAAATGTCCACTCCCCCAAAAATGAGTGTAAAAGTTCCAGATAAAACTCCTTTGACTGAAGACATTCCGTGCACTATACAAAATGAGGTGGAGAGAGGTGGATTCAGCTCTTAAAACTGAGCATCATGGGGGATGAGCACTGGGTGTTATGTGGAAACGAATTTGACAATAAACTATTTGTAAAAAAAAAAAAAAAAAAATGAAAAAAGAAAAAAAAAAAAAAACGAGCATCATGGGGCGCCTGGGTGGCCCAGTCGGTTGGGTATCCGACTTCAGCTCAGGTCATGATCTCATACTCCGGGAATGGGAGTTCAGGGCCCGCGTCGGGCTCTGTGCTGACAGCTCAGAGCCTGGAACCTGCTTCAGATTCTGCGTCTCCCTCTGACCCTACCCCACTCACACTGTCTCTGATTCTCTCTCTCAAAAATAAACATTAAAAACATATATTTCAAGAAAATTTTTCTTTAAAAATTGAGCATCACGAAACTGGCCGTTTTGCCTTGAAAAACCAAACTCCAATCTTTGAAAGGCCTCCTTTCCCTGCCCCATTCCTCACTTTGCATTTTAGATTATATACATTTGGTTTACAGATTTTAAAAAGCAGCGTATAAACAAACCTTGGGTAGCCTCCAGCACCACAGAGGCAAGATTGCGTGATTCCCCTTCAACTTCCCTGAGGAACACGAATCCACCTCTAAACATCCCTAAAACAGCAGCGCCAAGCATTGATCTTAAAAAGGTATCATTCATGAAGACTAAAAAAAAAAAATTACATGAATAACCACCGTAAGACCTATTTTCCAAGTAGAACAAACATAAAAACTAAATGTTTACTTCGCCTTTTGATCTTCTTAAAAGTCAATCTCAAGGAAGCCAGATGGATGGTAAATGACAGTAGGACAAATCGAGACCACCGGTCCTAATATAAACTCAGGAAAATCAATTCTCTCGACACAGACTGCCCCGCTTCGTCTTTCAATCACACCCAACTCGCCGAGTTTGAACCTTACTGCAATTTCCTAGTCCCAAGTATGCGTCAGGATTTATGTTATGTTGCATCACACCCAAAAAGTTATGAAATGCCTCTCTTTTAACAGAAAGGACATGAAACGCCCACATGTACCTGGTTTCTGCTCCTTGGGCGTCACCTCTGCTTGTACAGCGCTGTTCTTTTTAAAGAACTGCAAACTTTTTACCAATGGCTGTTGAAATTATCCTTGGGAGGTGGAAGACAGGGGTTGATGAACCAATTTTGCAAACAGACAAATCAGGGCAAAGAAACGTTAAGCAGCCTTCGATCGGCCACAGAAACAACACAGTGGTAGAACCCGACTCTGGGCAAGTCACGGCGCTCCCAGCGTTTACTGGGCTTTCTATCCGCCCGACTATGACGACAACGACCAAGATTTCCACCCGATTCTTCTGCCCACACCACCTGCTGGCAGAATGTGACTGGCCCTGTCGTTTCTTTCAGGGCAGCAGCTCGAGGAGCTAATTATGTCCCCATTACTGCATGCCCTCGAACGACACTGACACGAACAGGGACCACTATAAAGACTAGAGGTCTGCGCTCAGGACCACCTTTATGATGTCATTAAGACACCATAATGTGCCTTCTAGATTCCTGAAGACTGTAGCACGCTAAGTGCTCGGTTTCCTATGGGTCCCACGAAACTCCAACCATTCTGAATACTCCCTATGAACGAACAACTCGCTTTCCCATCCGTGATGGAGTCAGAAAAAGCAGCAGGGCGCTGGTCTGGAGGATGAAGCGTCCAGTGTATCATCTGGTCAAGCGCACCTTGGGCCTCACGCAAGTCTGACTAGCCAGCCATCAAGTTACACCATCAAGTTACAGCAAAAGAAGGCAGCAGCCTTGGCTGAAACCAAAGACCACTTTTGTGAATGATCATGTTTCTCGAAAGCTAATTCACATCCCCATTACTTGACTGTTGAAGATGCAGGGGTTCTGGGGCACCTGGGTGGCTTAGTCGGTTAAGCCTCCGACTTCGGCTCAGGTCACGATCTCCCAGTGTGTGGGTTCGAGCCCCGTGTCGGGCTCTGTGCTGACTGCTCAGAGCCTGGAGCCTGCTTCAGAGTCTGTGTCCCGCTCTCTCTCTGACCCTCCCCTGTTCACGCTGTCTCTCTCTCTCTCTCAGAAATAAATAAAACATTAAAAAAATTTTTTTTGAATTAAAAAAAAAAAGAGGATGCAGGGATTCTTTTAACTTAAGTCTTCAAGCAGGAGAATCCTTTAGTCAACCTAAGAATTACTCAAGGGATGTGAGAAGTCTCTGGTTTAAGTGCAGATGGGCAAGACCTTTACCACACAGGTGCGATCTCTCTGCCTTAAATAATGTCCATTGGGCCTCTGACCTCAGCTCAGGTCATGATCTCACGGCTTGGGGGTTCGAGCCCCGCGTCGGGCTCTGTGCTGACAGCTCAGAGCCTGGAGCCTGCTACAGATTCTGTGTCTCCCTCTCTCTACCTCTCCTCTGCTCATGCTCTCTCTCTCTCAAGAATTTAAAATTTTTAAAAAAGACACAATGTGTCAGTGACGGCTTATGCTTCCTATAAAAGCCATTAGCATAGTTAAAAACCGGAGGAAGTGAGATTCCTTGAAAACATCTTGGGTGTGTTCATGGTCCCTCTATTTTACACACAAATGATTTAGTTCCCGAGCTGACCATTAACCAACACTAGCCCCCCAGACACAAGGGGACAGGGGACCAGGAAGCGCCAAACTCTGGCTCTGGCGGACCACCATTCCCAGCACCTTCCATGACCACTAAAAAACCATCCGGAATAAATGCGAGAGAGCGGAGTCCTGAAGGAAAGGGAAGTTTGTTGCATCTAAGGATAACTTGTTTTTATAGGTGAGATCAGGTCTGCCGGAAAAACCAAGGTGAAGCCCAGGGTCCCTCAACCTTGACATCGCTGGACACATAATGCCTCGCTGGTGGGCCATCCTGTGCGCTGGAGGCTGCTACTCAGCAGCATCCCTGGCCTCTACCCACCGAGCGCCAGCACACACACACTAACACAGTTGTGACACCTAAAAATATGTCTAAACACTGCCTGATTCCACGGTGGGCAAAACTGCCCCAGTGAAGATAATGCACGTCCTCTGTTATCAACATTAAAAAAAAAAAAAATCACGCAATTTTCCAAACAGGAAGAAACCCTGAGAAAAATCACGGCCCTGAGAGGTCAGGTTGACTTAAACAAGGCTGGTGCCAGGAGAGCCGGGACTCAATGCCTGCCCGCCGGCCCGCGCCCGGCCTGCGCCGTCCGGGCCAGAACCAGAGGACGGACAGCGCGCAGCGGAGCGCCGCACTTACCCAGATGGAGCCCTTCCGGAAGTCCATCCTCAGACCCGTCCTCAGAACCGCCTTCTCGATCGACGGCTCCGTTCTCCTCCAGGGCGGTGGCTAGGTCCGGGGAACACGTCCTAGGCTGCCTTCCGTCCACGGACATGGTCGGCGACTCGGCGTCGGCCCTCCGATCCTTCTTGTGGACCCTCGAGTGCAAGACCAGCTGGTGGTAGGTCCGGAAGGCTTTGCCGCACTCAGAGCAGTGCGTCGGCTTCTCTTTGCTCCCGGGCAGCTTCGGGTCGGCGTCCGCAGAGGGCACTTCGCCGCCGCTGGAAGGTCTGGGCTTCTCCTTCTCTTGCGAGAGGCCCGCACAGCCGCTCTTGCTTGGCCTGGACTTTCCAGAACCTTCGGAATGGCTTTTACCGGCGCTCCAGATCTCTCCAAGCTCCTCTTTTTCGGAACACGAGTCATCGTTGTCGGTGCTGCCCTCCTGGCCGGGCTGCTCCTTCACTTCGCGGCAGACGGCGACTTTGCCTTTGGTGGCCAGCTGCCAGGCCTGGTAGGTGGTGAAGGGATCGAGCTGAGGTATCCATTTGGTGGGCTTCTTCCCGGTTTCAGGGTGCGACGTGGGCCTCAAGTTCAAGAACTGCAGGAACTCTTCCCCCGGAGCGGGCATCCCCCCCTGCGGAGAGGCTGTCTGTGCGCCTCCACCACCGGAAGCGCTGTCTTTGCTGTGCATCTTCCTGTGATCGATCAGACTTTCCTTATTTGGAAAGAGGAAGCCACAAACCATGCAGATTTTGTAAGGAGACGAGATGCTCTCGGCCGCGTGTTCCTGCACCACCTCGTTGATGGTGGCGGGGCTCTCGGAGCCAGGCTGCAGCTTGCCCTTGGCCCCCGCTTTGCCGGTGTGTGTCCGCATGTGGTTTTTAAGGAACCAGGGCTCCTTGAACCTCCGTCCGCACACGTGGCAGCCGTACGTGAAAGAGTCCTTATGCTTCTTCATGTGGGTCTCGACATCGAAAGCCACTCGGAACGTCTGCCCACACACCTCACAGCTAAATTCTTCATTGTCTTTGCCACTCTTGTCCTTTGGAGGCTCCGTTCTCACCTGACTCTTGTCCAGAGGGCTCAGGTACTCTGCTTCCACGCGCAAGACGGCCGGCTCGCAGAGGGTGGGCCGATGCTGCATCAGGACATGTTTGTTAAGGTCTTCCGAATGCGTGAAGGTCTGATTGCAGAACATGCAGTCCAAAGGCATGTATCCTTCGATTTGGATTATGTTTTTCTCCTGCGTCGCTCGGAAAGGAGCAGTGGTGGTCCCTTTTATGGACACAGCATCGTCCATCTCCATCTGGGTACCAAGCGAGTTGCCAATAACTTCCGGTCCATCCATATACACTAGCAGGGACTGGGTCGGCATGTTTCCTGGCACTTTAGGACTGTATACAAAATAAGAATCCAGTGGAGGAGTTTCTGGAATTGGAATAAGGCCACTTGTAAGACTTGTTTGTCACTCACACCCCCAGCAGCCGTGGACTTAAAACGAGAACAAATATTTGTTATAAAAGTTCAAAAGCAAAGTATATATTCCTGTAACTTCTTAATTTCACAAGTCTTAGGAAGCTCGGTGACAGAGCCTATGTCACTGGTTCTTTCCACAAACAAGGCAGACAGACTCCCCAAGCGCTTTGATTCAAATATGAGTCAGCACAGAGCATTAATTCTTTGTCTCCACTGAGTGAGTGATTCAATTGAGTGAGAAGTCAATCCCAGCAACCTGGAGACAAGGGATTCCCAAAACCTAGAGGGGGGGAAACCACAGAAATGGTTAGCTGCGGCCAGAGGAGAGAGGAGCCTAGGGTGGGCGGTTCCCAGCTGGTTCACCCACAGCAGAAGAGGCGCCTAGTTCAAATAACCGCGCATCCCGGGAAACACGCTCATTAATGAAATCGTTAGCATTTTACCCAATCAGGACACCTAGCAAATCGCTGGATTTCCATCCAGGTAAGAAACTAAAAACGTGGTGCTCTAATGATTTAAATTAAACTTTTAAGACTTGGGACAGAGGCTATTGACTGCAGCTGAATGCGTTTTAAAGGTCCCTGCAAGACGATGTGGACCCTTACAAACAGCCCTTACAAATCTAGAGACTTTACCCACTGTGAAGAATGCCAAGTGAGGCACTCTAAGTAAAAATGTTAAAGCCAGAACTTCAAACTGTCTTCTGTACATTCAAGAGATACAAACGCCTAACGGCACCCTCGAAGATCACACTCACACAGGCCAACAACATACACACACAGGAAAACAGGAACCTTTCCTAAAAGCCACATTCAAACCCTCCAGAACACCTCAGAAAGAATGAGGCTCATCTTGGCCAAGGGGAACCTCAATCATCTTGGTCCACAGGATATTCTAGCCTTCAACCCACCACCCAAATCCCAGCCACTTTTTCTTTCTGCCTTCAACAAACATCAGGGTAGGGCTTCCTTGTCCACACAACAAATAAGGAAACACACGCACAAGGCTACTTTGTGAGAGCACGCTTGCAAATCTTCCGCACGGCTCAGTCCTTCATCAGAAAACAGGCCCTCCCATTTGTAACCCACCCTTCACATCAGGCGCTGGCCAGGTGAAAAAATGGATGATTACTTTTGTTTCACTCTGCAGGCTCTGAGCTAGAAGCCAATCTTCATTCTTGGAGAAGAATGAACTTCCAAGCCCAATACCCTGCGCCTTTCTGGCAAGCAGAGAATTGTTTCTAAATAGACTCAACTACTTTAACTGAAGTCTGTTCACTCCACCCAAGAGAACAAAAAGACTTGCAAACTACTCCCACCACCTTGACTTGACTTTCCTTCTCTCCACTTCCTCAAAGAGCAAGGGCTTCTCGGCTCAGAGAAGACAAGGAAACATTTCTTCCCCTTCTGTATCCTCATAATAGAAGAAAATTCTCATGCTCCTCGCTATCTTTGGTTTTGAATACGCTAGATCTTTAACATTAAGCTTTTCTAAATAAGGCTGCAGATCAAAGATTAGGGAAAAGAAAGAAGGGACTGAAGTGTTTTATCTTAATTTCTGAGTCTTTTGTTGTGATCTCAATGGAGGATAAAACTCGTGCTGGCTACCAGCTTGGCGGGCTTTAACAGAACACTCCTGCGTTCCAGGCCTGGCCAAGTCACAACCTTAAAGTTGTCACCACCACCTACCTCACCTTCATCTACTTTCTATAGGCCATTAAATTACAGGATCACCCTTAAGAGTTCCCAATTTCTATGGTTCTCGGGGCAGATCTACATTTATGGACAGACTCCAAAGAATATTTAATGCTTTCCTAATCAAGATATTAAATGATCTTTGAGAAATGTAACGGATAATTTAGGGTTCTTTCTATGTAGTCAATATGTACTGAATGCTAGTGTACCGGATAATGTTTTAACTGAAGAAAAAACAGTACACACTCTAGAAAAGCAGTTATTAAACTGATGATCTTGTTTTCACTGATGACATCTGGATGAAAAACAGAAACAACTCAAGGAGCCCTACACAAACCACACAGAGTAATTTCAATTTGAATAGAGGCTGTCCTCTATTTGAGGTCCTTTCTACTTTTTGGTTGCAAAATAGCTTTTTTTTTTTTTTTTAAATGAAAGAGTGGCAATAGCAGTCTTTTTTTAATGTCCTAATTTGCCAAAATCAAAGTTAGTCCTCTATATCAGACCTCTGTGTGTGTGTGTGTGTGTGTGTGTGTATGTAAGAAGTTTTACTCCTCTGTGATATTTTAAATTGGGGGGAACTCCACAGTTTCCTACAAATATCTTTCCCAAAAAGACACCAACCACTCCTAAACTCAATCTTCTCCATTAGAAACATGATGGGGGTATATCCCTGTATTTCCAGTCCCAGGGAATGGCATGACTGGAAGGAAATGCCTTCGTTTAGTTTCAATTTTTATCTCTGAAATGTTCAAATACCTGGGTTAAGTGAGTTGTCATCAGCTTCTAACACAAGACCTAGAGGATTAAAGGAGGCACAGTCCAAAAAAAAAACTTAGGAGAAAGGAGAGCTTCAGTTTTGCCCAAGGTGGGGGCAGGATGGAGGCCCGGAGATGAGGGAAGGTGGTCCTAGGCCTGCCCACATGAGTCTCCCAGGAGGGTCTGATGGGGAAGGAGACCCTCCCAGGCAAAAACAGAAGCACTTCCTCCTCAAAGGAAGTTTCTGGCACGGATTCTGATAGTCATTAACTGTGCCCAACAGTCCTAGGCTCTAGACTCCGTTGAGCCATGGCAATCCTTACTACTCACCCAAGATCTGAAAACCCTGGGCCATCTGTTTTCAAGATCCTAGGGGCAGAGACCCCGGTGATCTTGTTCACCATTATGTCCCCATGCCCAGAAGGGATGCCTGGCATGCGGTCAGGCCCTCAATAAACACTCGGTGAATAAATTAGCAAACGCTAACCTAATCAGTACAGGTGTGGAATCAGTAGTGCACATCTCTGGCCCCAGTCACCAACCTGAACTGATCTGATAGTAAAATTAACCCGAACGTTCATCAGAACCTCTTTCTACACGGCTCTCTATGGCTCCCATCTACTTTACCATTCTCTGCAGTTTCAAGGGTGTCATTAAAAAAAAAAAAAAAAAGAATCCTAATTAATCCTACCACGAAGTTGACCAGCATAAGCAAAACCTTATCATTTAGACTTAAAACTAGTCTCCTTACTGTCCCACCAAAACAGTAAAGCAGCACAAGCTAGGAAGGTCTCTGACAACAAACGCCTTCCTCTCTTGACTCAAGGCACCGTTTGCAGACTAAACACTTCTTTCTACTATAAACCAATGACCTATATCACTTAAAACCAATCTGCTGAACGAAATCTGAAATCTTTAACAGTGACTGCAATAATACTTCACCAACAACAAAACTTACCCAAAAAGACACATTCTAATCTAATTACGGTTAATGACAGCCATTCCTGTGGAGTGAAACGCACACCCACACAGGGCCTTCCTGGAGCCTCGGCGGCCTTCCCCAGGTGGAAGGCGCAGAGGCCAACAGCTCTGCCGGCCCCGGAAGTTGTCTGTCTTCACAAAGAACTGGAGGAAAGAGGGGGAGGATCTTGACCCAACCCCTAGAATCTAAATGCTTTTAGTTCGCAGAAAAGTGACCGTTCTGAACACACGAGACTTCCTGAAAGGCAGTTTGCAAAAATGTTTTTCCATGTTTAAAAAAAAAAAAAGAAATGCTTAAACCTTTGCTCCGGGAGATGACAGTAATTCCCCTTCAGCCACAAGGCCCACCCCCACCCCCCACGGGCACCCGAGGCAAGCGGTTCTCGGGTACAGGCTCCCGGTCTGCAAGAGTACCCGTGATTACTTTACACCGTGTTGAGATAGGATACCTTAAGAAATAAGACTTATCACAACAATAGAATCTTTGAAAACAAAGTAGGAACCATATTGCTAGAACCGCCTGAAATGGAAGGAACAGAAATCTAATGCTCTTTAGGCCATGTCTCCTATTGTTTTTTTTAAAAGCAGATGCTCCTTGGAGAGCAAAGCTCCCGTGAATTCTGCCACTACCTACAGATTTTGAAATTAGCAAATATTACACCTCATACAATGCTTAATGAAATAATAATTTGTGCTTCGAGCACAACAAATTAGAAGGAGAGGCCACCTTGCCGACAACTGCTGTGACTTGGCAACAGTCCTTATTGTACAAACGGACTCGCCCTGTTAACCTCTACCGCCGGCGTGCCTGCCTCCCCCTCAGCTCAACAGGTTACCTTACGTTTTTTGAGATGGGGTATTTATTACCCTATTGTGCAGCAAGAGAAATTCAAAGTCCTCAAAATCGGTCCAAAACACACAAGAATTCGGCTTATAACCAAGTAACGTGCGGTATTCCTGCAAGTCTACTTTTTCCCTCGGAGTCACTTGAGTGTCCAAATATATGATTATTAAAATATTTGACCCAAGCAAACTGCTAGCCTCTGGCCTATTTCCTTTGTAGCCTGTAAAGGGCAAAATTATCTCCAAGATCTGGTCAGGAAACCTAGGGTTTCTATAGATGGTTCTGTAGGTTACACATTTGGGTTTTTTTTCCTTAATCCACCAAGTGAGGAGAACCGTACATCGTTAAGCCACAGAGACAATCCAAACCTGTAACTTTAAATCCTTCAACACTATTTCAAGGAAAGCACCAAGGTCACACCCATGAGCTGAATGGTCAGCCCAACTTTCCTAATATAGCTGTGAAAAGATGTTTAAAAGTTCAGTGAAAGAAAAAGATTAAAATATTCAAAAGATTATATTCAGCATCACAATCTAAAACTAGTCAAAAGCAAATGGTTAAGAAAAAGAAAAGAAAAAAAAGCCAATAGCTGTTCAAAGGCAAAGGCTGGGAAGCTCCTCCACTCTCATTTTCCTGAGACTGTAGTAAGGGTACAGTTCTAAATACAATTAGAGACCAGAGTACTATAAAATATAAATATATATATATCATCATATTCGTGTATTTGACTGTCAGGATTAATTCATTCCAAATCAATTAAGGTCAGTTAAAGGAGCTTAATGTGAACTTGAGGCCACACGTTAGTTTTAGTTTCGGTATTATCAATATTAACAGATCTGTGGTCTGTAAACTGGCTTTTACAAATTCCATCCTGATGGGAAAAAGAGACTCTAAGGGAAATGAACAAAACAAGAATTTTAAATAAGCCATCAGATGAAGCACTGCGATCTGAGAGATTCTATTATTGCTACTTTAACAGGAGTAGTACTTTAAATACTTTGG